GGAAAAGTATTTACCTACAAATATTACAGAGATAAGCACCTCAAATACACCCCTTGTGTGGACAAGGGTGACAGGAAATTTCCCTGCTCTCTCTGCACACGATCCTTTGAGAAGCGGGACCGGCTCCGGATCCATGTCCTTCACGTTCATGAGAAGCACCGGCCTCACAAGGTAAGAAGTAGGGTGACGAATGATGGGTGGCCTGTTACTCACATTGCTTTCCTGCTCCTTTCTCAAACCCCTGAAGACACAGTGAGGGTCCCCTGGATGTGAGTTGCTGGGACACCGTGCTTGACGATGTAGGGTCTATGAAGAAAGGGATGGTGCCGTGGAGGGGCACACAGGAGCTACCGCGTCACAGTGCTAGAATGGATGCATGAGGTTGAGAGGACACAAAGGAAGGGTGTCCACTTCTACCTGGAGACGTGGGTTATGAAAGGCCTCACAGAAGAGGTGGCCTTGAGCCTAGTCTAGAAGGACAATGGGATGTCTGATTTATGTCAGAGGCAGAGTTGGTTGAGGAGGGGGAGAGGGTCGAGATGTTCCGAGCAAGAAGGAGCCTGGCATGTGCTTTTAGATCACTGTACGTTGTTCTATCATCTGTGCAGGCATATTGACCATTGTAGATAAGGATGAGGCAGAGGCATGGCCCAAAGAATGGAAGGCATCTGTGGCATGCCAAGGATTTTGTCGGGAAGAAAAGCAACAATGGCCATAGGGAGCCATTTTCTGCTATTCCGGATACCTGGTTGCTCTGCCGGACTTGGTGAAAAAAAGTGCATGCACCATTGAGCCTGTTTAGAAGAAAGGATGGGACTTAGGTGCAGACAGACATGGGTGTGGCTCCCAGCCCTGTCGAACTGGCTGATGAGGCTACCACCCGAGCGACCCCAGAGTCCCAGTTCTGTTCACTTGAAAAGCGAGAGTAATCTTCATAAAATTGCCTTTATCTTCCCCCACTGGTGGATCTTATCTGTTCACGGCTAAGCTTGCAGGGAAATCCCAGTCACTATATTACTTACTCCTAGAAAGTTTGAGGAGTTTTACAATAATCATGTGTCATTTTGCTCATCAAAAGACATTTAACACAATTAGTTTTCAACAACCCCTTGGTGGTCCAGATCTACAAAGATGTCCACACCAACCCAGTCCCCTCCAAATACCACTTCCCACAGAAAAGCACATACTTACCAGAATTCTAAGAACATTTGAAGTATAAGACAGTGAAATTACTGGGGTGCCTGGGTGGCTTAGTTGGTTAAGCGGCTGACTCTTGAGTTCAGCTCAGGTCATGATCTCAAGGCTCATTAGTTCAAGCCCATGTCAGGCTCTGCGCTGGCAGCACAGAGCCTGCTTGGGGTTCTCTCTCTCTCTCTCTCTCTCTCTCTGCCCCTCCTCCCCTTCCTCATGCTCGTTCATGCTCTCTCTCAAAGTAAACATTTTAAAAAGTGATAAATTTATTTCCAATTTTTACTGTTTAACGTGGGAAAAGAAAGTATGTTTGGTAAATATATTTTGGACAAAACAAAAGCCTCCTGATATGCTATGACCCAAGTTAAGACATTTAAGGTGTAATGTTTTTCTCTACGTGTATGTGTACATTTATGTATTTTTAACATACTTGGGGATATTCTGAGGCTAGTTTTCTGACTTAACACAACATTATGAGTCATTTATAAACATAGTTATGGCTGCATCAGTATATATTAGATGGATGTGCTATCATTGATTTAACCAATCTTCTGCTTTGTGATTTTTCCCCCCAGTGTTGCTGTGGTGAACAATATTATATACAAATCATTCTCTCTGTTATCCATGTCTGATGATTTCTTTGGGATAGATTCCTAGAAGTAGAAAAACTGGGTCAAAGGGTGTATACAATTTGAAGGCTCTTGAATCGAGGCACTAAACTGTCTTCCAGAGAATGTGTCCATTTGTAGTCCCGCCCGGGGTGGGGGCTTGTGTGTGTAGCAGGCAGCACCAGGTCTCCTGCAATGCTACTGTCCTTCTTTACGTTGTCATTATGATAGACGGAAACGGTATCTTGCTTTACTTTGCATTTTAATTAATGTGGTCTAAATGTTTAAACTATATTTTATTGGCACATTGTATTTGTCTTGTGATTTATCAATTTATGTCCTTGGAAAAGATTTCTATTGCTACATGTTGTAGTAATAATGTTTTACAAGCTATATTGTATCAATTCCGGGTTGGAGTTTTTTCACATTTTTATGTTCCTGAAATTGGAGTGTGTTCAACAAGTGACGATATGCCACCATCCCAATTGGTGGCATTTTCCTTGTTAGCACAAAAAGTAATGGTGGATCTTACAGCTGATGAGATACACCATTTAGGCCGTTTGTCAGATTTGCTGCAGCTACAAGACCAGGGGGTGTTGGTTAACAAAGGAGAAGCTGTCGGATTTGTTTTTGTTTTTCACTAAAAAGAATCGAAGAAAAGGTTATCAGAACTCGATCAAGATATTTCTGCTAGAAAGTTGGCTAGGTCATTTGCTTAAACTCTGAGGACGGTGTTGGTCTTGAGTCGGGGTTTGAGTGGAGAAGCTGTACTCGGATGCTGCCATCTTTTTTTTTTTAATGTTTATTTATTTTTGAGAGAGGTGTGTGTGTGTGTGTGTGTGTGTGTGTGTGTGTGTGTGTGTGTGCGCCTGTGCATGAGGAGAGGGACAGAGAGAGGGAGATAGGATCTGATCTGAAGTCTCTGTGCTGAGAGCAGAGAGCTGATGTGGGGCTTGAATTCATGAATGTGAGATCATAATCTGAGCCAAAGTCAGTTGCTTAACCGACTGAGCCACCCAGGTACCACAGGTGCTGCCATCTTTGAGACTGAGGGACCGTAGACCAGGCTGTCAGTGGATGACAGAGACGAGAAAGAAGGCATGGAGGCTGGTCACAGTGAAGTGAGGAGTTGGGTTTTATGGTAGAGTGGAGAAAGAATCATTTTTTAAACTGGCAATAGAAGAGGATGAATCCTGTGTCCTCAGTGTTCCCACAATTCTTCTTTAGTGATCTTCTTTTTGCAAACTCTCCCTGAGTGGTCTTGTCTCTTTTATTATGACTATAAGTAGCATTTCACTTTGGATGTTGATCCCTGGCCAAGAGCTCTGACCTGAGCTCATGAAGCATGTATCTAGCTGCATTCTAAGTATCTCAACCTGAATTTCTCATGGCACTCCTTTTCTTATTTTTACTGGTAAGCATTTTTTAATGCTTTTTTTAGTTTTCTTTATTTTATATACTTAAGTTTGAGTACTGAACTTCTAAGGTGATAAAATATATTTAATTTTTTCAAAAACTTGAACAAAACATTTAAGTTGAAAAGAAGGGGAAAAAATCTCTGGTGAAACCTGCAGAACTTAAGATAAATAATTTTTTTAAAAAAACCAACCAGTTTCTGCAAAAGAATTGACAATTAGAAGATGCTGAGTGTACAACCAAAAATGAAAAACCCTGTATTGTCACCCCTATATCCAGCATTTAAAACCTAAATGTACCTCCTTTTCACATAATTTGTCGAGCAAAATTAATGAAGAACACAAATAAATGACAGAGGAAATCCCTGTAGTTCATAACAATGAATCCCAAAAGTTTATACGTGAATTTGGGATCTCAGCCCTCTCTAACCTCCTAAAATTCCTGACCAATGGAGGGAAGGCTTTATTTTTCCAGAAAGCATCGTTGCTTATAGTCTATAAATTGCTCAAAATTACGCCAGACTTTTTACTTTCTTTATATTTTGTTTTTGACTTCCCCCTAAGCTTTTTGTTTTTGCTGGGATTTCTAATTACAAGAGGTAAATATAGTTTCTTAATTGTGTAAAATGATATTTACATCCTTGTTGAAAGCATTCTTCATGGAGCTTATTCAGATTTGAACCAGGTGCTTTCTAGGCCTGTGAACTGTCATTATTTGGATAGTTTTCATCACCTTTCTGAATTAGTTCCACTGATTTTCACATCTCACTCTTCTTCTCTCTTGATTTCCAATTTTCAAAAAACCTTCACGGCATCTTTCCATTTACTCTTATCATTTGATATCAATCTGGTTCTTGATTATTTATAAATAACTGGGTTTTTTCTTTATGGAATTTGTTATTTATCTTTGGAGTTCTGAAAAAATTAAAAACAAATTTTTTTTTTTTAACGTTTATTCACCTTTGAGAGAGAGAGAGTGTGAGTGGAGGAGGGGCAGAGACAGAGGGAGACAGAATGTGAAGCAGGCTCCAGGCTCTGAGCTGTCAGCACAGAGCCTGACACGGGGCTCGAACCCACAGACCGTGAGATCATGACCTGAGCCGAAGTCAGACGCTTAACCAACTGAGCCACCCACATGCCCCTGGAGTTCTAAAATTTTAACAGAATGTGCCAAGTTGGATGTCTTTTTCTTTTTGTCTTGCTTTGTAATCAGTGAAGTACAAAGTACTCTTTCCATTTGAAGGCATAAGTCCTAAACTGAAAGGAATTTTCTTGTTTCATTCTTTGATTATTATTTCTTCTAGATCTTTATTTTCTCCTGGAACTTCTTTTGGCCAGATACTAGCTACCTTCTTGTGCTTAACATTTTTGTTCTTTTTTCTGAAGTTTTTTGTTGTTGTTGTTTGCTTGTTTTTATTTTATAGAGAGAGAGCACACTGAGCAGGGGAGAAGGGCTAAGAGAGAGAAAATCTTAAGCTGAGCATGGAGCCTGACGTGGGGCTCGATCCCACGACCCTAGGCTCGTGACCTGAGCCAAAATCAAGAGTCAGACACTCATCCGACTGAGCCACGCAGGCTTAACTTTTAATTCTTTTTGCTCCCCATTCTCAGAGTCCCCTAATCTTATTTTCCAAATCATGTATTTAGTCTTTATATTTGATCTGTTCTTTTTTGTAGTGTTAACTCAAACACCTGACTTTTTGTGCTAGCAATCATAGTAATGATAACAAATGCTCATTATTAAAACCTCAAACAGCACAGAAAAGTTGGAGAAGACTTTTAAATTTTTTTTTTTAACGTTTATTTATTTTTAAGACAGAGAGAGGCAGAGCATGAACGGGGGAGGGGCAGAAAGAGAGGGAGACACAGAATCTGAAACAGGCTCCAGGCTCTGAGC